TCCCATCCAGGGACTAACCAGGCTCAAGCCTCAGTGGGTAGCCAGTTGAGAGCTGCAGGGTGATAGGGCTGCTGGCTTAAAGGAAATGTTTAGTTTATTATTAATTATAATTAATAATGTTAGTTATAATTAATAAAATATTTTCCACTTATGATAACAGTTTACCTTTCTACAAATCTATGTTTGTTGTGGATCTATATAATTTGGTTTTCAGTGATGTTACTGTTAACAGTCAGCAGCCATATCACCCTGCAACTCACAACTGGCAACCCACTGAAGCTAAGTGGGTGTGAGCCTGGTCAGTACCTGGATGGGAGACCTCCTGGGAGAAACTAAGGTTGCTGCTGGAAGAGGTGTTAGTGGGGCCAGCAGGGGACACTCACCCTGTGGTCCATGTGGGTCCTAATACCCCAGTATAGTGACGGGGGCACTATACTGTAAACAGGTGCCGTCCTTCGGATGAGACATAAAACCGAGGTCCTGACTCTCTGTGGTCATTAAAAATCCCAGGGAGTTTATTGAAAAGAGTAGGGGTGTAACCTGGCCAAATTTCCAAAATTTCCCATTGGCCCTTATCAATCATGGCCTCCTAATACTCCCCCTCTATGAATTGGCTACATTACTCTGCTCTCCTCCTAGCTGATGTGTGGTGAGGGTACGGGTGCACTATGGCTGCTGTTGCATCATCCAGGTGGATGTTGGTGGTGGTGGAGGGGAGTCCCCATTACCTGTAAAGTGCTTTGAGTGGAGAGCCCAGAAAAGTGCTATATAAGTGTAATCAATTATTAATATTATTACCCCCATTAAAATGTTTTACATTTCACTATTAGAATACTCATTGTCTAACAGGCTCCTTGCAATACTGTTTTAAAAAACCAATGCAGTTCTTTCAGTCAATACCTATGTTTATTTACTGTTTGTGCATGGGAACAAGAATTGAACTTTTAAGAGTAATATAAATGCACAGTAAAAATATGAAAAGCATAGACAAATAATATGCACTGTAATGAAACCTAAGTTTATTTCATATTCAAACTGAAATGCCTTTAGCTATACAAGTTCTTTTGCAGTCATTGTCTCCTTCTAAGAATCAGGAAGGGGGTAGAATCATTTCAACAGCTTGCCTGCCAGCATGTACAGTATGTGAATTTTATGAAGGCTGTTTTAAACATTGCTTTTCATTCAGGCTCAGTAGGGCATTGAGTTGAATAAAATGTGCAATTAATGTGGGTGGCACAGTGGTGCAGTGGTTAGCATTGCTGTTTTGCAGCTCTGGGGCCCTGGGATCAGGTCTGGGGTGTAATCTTCATGGATTGTTTATGTACTCCCTGTGTTTGCATGGGTTTTAGCCTGGTGCTCTGTTCCTTCTCACAGTCCAAAAACACACTGGTAGGTTCATTGTCCTCTTGGAAAACGGCTCCTGGTATGAGTGTGTGTATGTTTGTTTATCTGTAAATGCCCTGTGATGGCTTCCTGTCCAGCGCGTATCCTGCCTTGTGGCATTGCTTGTGAAACGAATATACCCCTGCGTATAATGGGGATCTCAGTCGCCCAGGCTGAAGGAGGTCTCCTTTAGCTCAGCCGACAAGTTCCCTGTTGTGTGATGCCAGAGACCTGGGTTTGCGCCCAGACAGTTAGGATGAACTGGCAGGGCAGGAGTGGCAAGGGTTGAAACCCAAAGAACCATTACACTTCCTCTCCTACATTGGATGAAGAGGTTTGATAATGGATGAATGTACTGTACAGTATGTAATTAGTGTAGTACAATGATGTACAGTAATGAGTCATCATTGCAAATACTCAAGAAAGGTAACCATTGAACTTACTGCTCTCACTTAGAGCACAGATGAATCCGTGTGATTACCAAAATTTTCAACATATCACTAGATTGAGCTTGAATTTCTCCATGCCTAGAGTTCTCCAAGAAGTGGGATACACATCAACTAGTGAAGCATTGTACTCTTTGAATCTGTTAAAAATATCTTCAGTTTGTATTGTAATATGCAATTTCGATGATTCGTCTGGCATTTGTGACTTCAAGTCACCAATCCTTCTAAGGAACCCTGCAAAACAGTAGATGGGAGGGCAGGTGCCTTTTTCAGAGGAAAGATATACTGTACATTCACCTCTTTCCTCTCATACTGGAATGCAAGTCAAAGCAGGATTCAGCTAAACTGAAAATGGTCTACTAAAGATAGAATAACTGTCTTTTAATATAATGTTAAATTATAATATTTTCTTTTCAGAATTTACCCTGAATTCAAAATTCAACTTAATAGAATATTTCTTTTTAATTTTGTCATGTTTTTATTTCACCCACTTAATACTGTTGCGAGGAATGAGCAGAGGACTGATAGATCTAGATTTTCTATCAATCACTATGCTAATTAGAAATCTAAAATCTGAGTTTTTTTTAGGCTAGTTTGATTATGACTACTGATTTGATTATGTTTTCATAACAAGTAGACAGTGGTAGAGAAGTGGATTAGAGAATTGTGGGCTCTAATCCTATGTAGGATGGTACTTTCTGTATAACCATATACTATAAAAGTATTCACCCTTCTAAAAATATCCCAGTTAGTTTAATTGCAAATGATGAATACTATGAATTGAAAGCGAATTATGAAAAGTAAATATTTGTAATCAGAACTTGGCACTGTATATTTTTTCGTTGTACATGTCTACTTTAATGATGTTAAAATAATGATAAAATATTGCACTTTATTTACTGTATATACTAATAGCAATAATAGCAGTGATTCAAAAATAACACTAACCGCTGTAGTGGCATTTAGGTGCTTCCTAACTACAGAACAAATGGTTAATGGTTTTAATTAGAAAATAGTGTCTGGAAAAGTGATGACTGACAGAACATAAAGGTGAGAGATTGCAACCTGGAAGCATTTTTCTCCCCAGACAATTACTTTGGCTCAGAACAATCATCTGAACTACTCATACTATATAGCAGCCTGCACAGAAGTGCACTGAGGCTGAGACTAGAGCTAATGCTTAAACTTAACCATGTGGGACAGGTTTCAGTGTGTGGGATAGTTCCACATTGCCTTTAAAATTTTAAAGCTCCTTACAAATGAAGGAAGCAGAATAGCACTTAACGTGTACACTCCACTAGCTCACATTCAAGTTAAGAAGCTAGTGATTATACATACTGTGTACTCAATTAGCAGTTTTTAATAATAAAACTGCTTCTTCATTATAGACAATTGGATTTGAAAAAACATTTTTTTCTTAAAGGGTAAAAGTCTATAACTAACAGTAACAGTTAGCTAAACAGGCAGGTCATGGAATTGTGCATTGCATAGAAAAACTGTAAATGGATCATACAAGCAAAAAGAAGACTTCTTGTTTAAAGGAATTGCTCTTGATGACTTCAAATTAAAGCTCACACTGTATATTAGTATTGTGTGTACCTACTGTAGCTCTTCACTGTATCACTATCACTCTCCTCAATGCTGTAATAGTGAAAGTAAACACTACAAGACCTGTTGCAAAAATATGCATTTTCATTAATTGATTTTCATTTGGTGGTGGACAAAGTAGATCTCCTGCCATATGTCAAGCACAATGCTATCATCTGGGATGTAAAGCACTACGCACACATGACCAATCTGTATTTTATTCATACTGTAGTTACCACTTTCAATATCTGCTTAGCCAATTTGTGACAAATTCTGGTTAACGGTTGCCCATGGCCTATATTGGGAAGAATCAGGTACAAGGAGGGTTAAACCATGGATGGATTTCCAGTCAATTACATGGCAAAATAGAAACAAACGCAATCATACCAAGGCCAGTTTTCCCAGAATCCAATTAAGACATACTGTTAGTACAGTATGTCTTTAGACTTTGGGAGCAATCTCATGCAAACAGGGGAAAGACAAGAAGATAGCTATTATTATTATTATTATTATTATTATTATTATTATTATTATTATTATTATTATTATTATTATATCTAGTACCCATCTAAAACCAGAATGTCCCTTCACCTTTTTCCATAAAACAACTTTAAATTATTAAGGCATTAAGCCAAGGAAAGCGACACAACCAACCAGAAGTTTACAGTGGATTGTCACTTATGCATTGATTCGTCTTATTAGGGGAAAACAAAATTTGGATTCTCTTTTGTTAATTGTGAATTTTTGGAGGATCTGAACATTTGTTGAGGTGCAAAATTAAAAGGATATTGACAGTCACTATTAAAGACAACGAGCAAGCAAACCAAATAAAACTAAACAAGTGACTCAAATTCCCCGAGCAGAAGATCAAACAGAAGATCTTTCATAAAGAATCACTGATAAGACCATGAACAAAATGAATGGATTTGCTACAACAACAGAACAAAACCAGAATTGAGTGGTAAGGCTTTCTCTTTAACATACTGAGATACAAATTGGAATTGAAACAAAACCAACTCATGAATCCCTTTAATCAGCAGTACAGTTTAATCAGACCCTTAAGTATCAGTTAAAAGGATTCTCAATCATCAATTGCTTATCTTTACAATAATTTCCTTTGTAAAAGGGTCATGATTAATGATATCTAAGGTAAAAAAGACTCAAAAAATACTTTGTATGCGGAAAAAGTTACAGAATTTTGAGTTTGCTGATTAAAAATCAAGACATCAAGAATCTCTGTTTTGTCATATAACTGTTATAGCCTGTGCCTGCAATGGACATAACAAAAGATAAAGATGTATCATCAACTTTTTTCAGAACCCACTTGAACCACTTGAAGTCCACTGCCAATAATATTAAAGGAATGTGGATAAGCATTTTAATTTAGTTATTCTTGTGTAGTATTAATGTGATCTGGATTTGAATCACTGTCTTAGATGCATTTACTTTACACTCTTTTGAGAGTTGGAGGGTAGTACATCTTTCACTAACACATTACATTTGCATAAAACGTCCGAAGGCAAATGGCTAATATTAGATGTGAGGAACTCTCTAGACTCCTGTTTTCTCTAGATTTTCCCTTACCTTTTCTGTGGACTGTGAGGTCCCAAAGAAGATGGGGATGAAAGCGAGCCAAACAATACAGGTGGTGTACATCGTGAAGCCAATTGGCTTGGCCTCATTAAAGGTCTCGGGTACTCCTCGGGTTTTGATGGCGTAGACAGTGCATGTGACCATCAAGAGCATGCTGTATCCCAGAAGACAGATTAGGGAGAGATCGGAGATGTCGCACTTCAGAACCCCACGGGCGAATTCGGGGTTTGCTGTTCTCTGGTCCTCATAGTCAATGATGGCTTGGGATGGGTCCACCCCAAACCAGATGCAGACCCCCAGGAGCTGCACAGAGATGAGGCTGAAGGTGATAACAAGCTGGGAGGCAGGGCTGATGAACCGAAGTGGATTAACAGACTTCTTTCCCTGCTCGAAGATGCGGTAGATGCGATTGGTCTTGGTGAGCAGAGCAGCATAGCTGATACTCATGCCAAGGCCCAGAAAGATCCGCCGCAGGGAGCATATGCTTGCTTCAGGGGTGGAGATCATGAGGAACGTGGTGGCGTAGCACAGAAAAATGCCTGTCAACAGCACATAGCTGAGTTCGCGCCCTGAGGCCTTGACAATGGGGGTATCATTGTAGCGGATAAAAGTCACCACCACGAACAGCGTGGCCAGGATTCCCAGAATGGCAATGAAAACTGGGATCACAGCCCAAGGAGAACTCCACTCCAGCTTGACGATGGGGATCGATCGGCAGCCTGTATGATTCTCGTTTGGCCGCAGGTCAAAGCGGCACATTTTACAGGTGTATGGATCTGCTTGGTACTGATACCCATCACAGCGTTCACAGTGCCAGCAGCAGGGGATGCCCTTCACTGTCTTCTTCCGCTCCCCAGGGCGACACGGCTGGCTGCAGATAGAGGTTGGCACCTGTCGCACACCCCCAGGCCATTGCATTACATCGATCTGTGGGTAAAAACAGAGAGGAGCTTGTTTTCAACATCATAAACAAGACATCTCTAGATTAAAGATTAGTGTGATTATATTTGTTAAAACTCTTTTGTGCTAGAATATTCCTAATGAATCCATAATGCAATTAGGGACAAAACGCCTAAGCAAAAATAGAACTATCTGCAGTAAGCACACATCTGAGGGCTTTGCTAGAAACTGGAAGAAATTATTTTATAAGAAATTGTGATTACAGGATTCTTTCATGTTGTCACACTCCCCCAATCAATTTTCTTTGTTATAAGAGAGAGAGTTTGAAACAATGTTTTCAATGTGACACAAACAATAAATAATTAATAAATAATTATTCATAATTAAGTAACGAACAAAAGTAAACACACTTTAGTAGCTTTACTTAATTAATACTATAGCACTTAAGTGGATGTCAGCATACCAAAGGCCAGTCAGCAGCTATAGTTTTTAAATAGTAGTTTTTAATGATAACATACAATACAATTTTAAAGAATATTAATAGTACTATTATTGTCAAATAATATGAACCACCTACAAAATGTGTCATGTAAAATTATCTTTGCTGACAATTAAAAAATCAATCAGCAAAAGTAAAAAGAAAATACATCAGCAAATAAAGAAAGTGCTCTGAAATGTCTCTGGGTTATACCGAAACTCTCAGCAGTAGGCAGCATCATCTGCACCTCAGTGGAGTGATGACACAGATAGCGGTGCAGTGGCAGATAGCAGATAGCAGGTAGCAGTGCAGACTATTTTTATTTGAGCAGTGTGTGAAGCCAACAGGGACCAAACAAATCTTGCTATTGGAAGCAACCATAGAAACATGACATTTTCAAGTTTTCAATATATTATCCTAAGAAAACATCCTTTAGTATTCCACAATGCAATGACCCAAAGGATAAATGTACTGTATGTAAAGCTGAGATTCATCAGGAGCCACATAGTGGCGGAGTGTCTAGCATTGCTGCCTCAAAGTGCTGGGGCACTGAGTTCAGCCCTGGACCAGAAGTGCTATCTGTGGGGTACAGTTTGCTCTCCCTGTGTTCATGATTTCTTCTAGGTGCTCACATTCCAATAACACATTAGTAGGTTTAAATTGCTTCTGGGAAAAATTGGACCTGGTGAAGAGTGTGTGTGTGTCTGTGTCTGTCCTATGGTGGACTGGTGTCCAGTCCAGGGTGTACTGTGCCTTCCTCCTTTTGTCTACTGGTTCCCCTGTGACCCTTAATTGGATGAAGCGGTTAAAACAGATGGATGCACGATCTGTATTACAGAAATGTACAGTATAATGTATTACTGTCTATTATACTGTATGTAATTTGTTGCTTACTATAATAATATCTAAAGCCACATCTGAGGGTCTGGAGCAATACAATGTTAGTCACTGTGGCCTTTTTTCTGTTTTTCCAGACTTTATTTTAAGCAGCACACTTAAGCATTTCTCCACATTTATGTATATAACAAAGAAGCACTAAATAAATTATTTACTGAATACTAACTGAATATGGTGGTGTAAGCTAGTTATTATGGTCATTCCTACATGTGTACTGTATTACTGTATCTATGAATCTAAAGATGACATTTATGCTAATAGACCTTATTAGGAGGGTGTCACTAATACATTATGACATTGCACACTTAGTAAATGATGAAACTGTTATTGATGTCAGTCACATTTCATAATTTCATATTTTAATAATTATTATAATAATTTGGATAAAGTAAGAAAGGCATTTATCCTCTGAAATCCATACGATTTTCAAATGTTCAGTAAGATTCAAAGTGTTACATGTTTTCCAATTATACAATATTAATCTATTTCGATTAATAAAATAAAAGTTTGTCGACCTTGAACCATTCCAAATTTGTTCTTATTTATTAGTATAGCAATTAGTCCTTTTTAATGGTCATGGCTAATACATTTAACAGCAGAAATGCTGTTTACGTTTACCACCATAGACGAATTATTTGATCAGTGTTGAGACTTTGCCAAGAAAGCTCAATTTGAATATTTGGATTTTGTTACTATTGTACTGTTACAATTCGTTATTATAAAGCTAAAATGGCTGTTTTTGCATATGCATTCGTTTACATATTTAACTACAGTATGAGCTGAATAAGTACTAAATAATTTTTATCAATTTTGGAAATGCTTTGTTTTAAAAAGGCATGAACAAGTACAGTAGCACCAGCATCATTAAGAAACATCCAAATGTTTGGGTAGCACTGTAATCATGTTTGAAGAGTTGCAAATTAAGGGAATATTACATATGCATGAGGGAACAATTCAATTAACTTTTAGGGGATTAAAAACAAATTCAAAGACTCCATTATAAAAGTCACAGAACAAACAAAAGAAATTCGAGAAGATGAAGTAATTTATTAGTGAAAACTATTGCTAGTTAAATCATTTGTAAACAAGTGTCAATTAAATGGAATTTGTTTTATAATTAAAATGAAATACCTTTACTTTAATCTGCTAAAGTGCAAAGTCCTAGGGTAGATATGTAAAAAAAAGCATGCTTGTCCAGAATAAGATTTCAAAGAAGTAATTCTGCTAATCCTATTTGTGTTCCCTGATAGTGTGATGACTAACCTGCTAACCTGATGAATGTGTACTATACTGTGTAGTTGTCTTCAGACTCATTTTTTGCTGAGAAAGAAGTTAAAGCATTTTTCTTAATACCCTTCTCATTCTGCAAAATTAAATTAAATAGTAGAATGACCTGATCTTAAGAAATATGTTTTGCTGTAAAAAGTGAACATACTTCCAAAGCAGAATTTTACCAAACTTAATTCTCATTCAGATGGGCCTTTTTACTGCCCAGATGCAACTTTTACCAATTATTACAATATAATAAATTTGTGTTTTGGTGCCACTTTGAACTTTGTGATGAATTAAAACTTCTAATTTAATGTGAATTATATACTTTACCATGTAGGACAGTTGGTATCTACAAATAAATACAGTATATACTAAATATTCAAATTAATATACAGTATGGTACAGTATATGGATATATTGTGGTGGTTGCTGTTTTCCTACAGGGTATTTGACAGGGAGACACACTGCACTGAGATGGGTGTCTGTTCCAGAGGACAGTTGAGAGTGACCACTGGTGGAACAACAAGTTGTCTTGGTAACATGGGATGCAAAGTGGCTGGCTAACTTCAGTGAGTAGTATAGTGTTCATGGCTGAAATCCCCCAACAACTAAATAAAAATATTCAGTCCTGCATTTTCCCCCCCCCGCTCTGAGTTTACCAGTTCATTTTGGAATTGGCCCTCCTTGTAATCGTAAAAAGGTATAAAAATTCCTTCTTGACGAACCAGTGTGTTCAAATTCTCAATAACCTCATGCTACAATATAAGGGGACACCAAGCTGGGTAATGATTTGTTGGAGTTTAAATACCACATGCATAAAGGCTGCCAGACTTGGCAACTTGTTCATTCACTGGAGTTCCATCCACAGGTCCAGGAAATGTTAAATACAAAGGCATCTAAAATTGCAGCTCCAACCCCTCCTGCTTTACCAAGATATTTCTTAGCTTTGTCTTTTTCAATTAATACTAATCAGGTCAGTTACTAAGGTTAACTATGGGACCATTGTCCAAGTGTCACCTGCAGCATGGCTAAGCTCTAGAATCTGCTCATTCCATAACTGACAACAGCTGTATTAGCCTTACCCATGGGTTAATCAAGTTGTCTCTACACACACGAAAGTGTTCTGTTAGTATTTTGGTAAATGTGCTGTATTCTCACTAAGAGTTACACAGTTTATTCAGTTCTCTACCATCTAAAAAGAAGAGTAAGTGGTAGAGGAGCAGAAATTCAGACTGCTTTCCAAATTAGACAACCTGCACACAGAAAGCTTTCACAGCTGGTGCATTATGGTGTGTGGAGGAGGTGGGAGTGTTATTGAAATTGTAATTTAGGGGCAAATCCAGCTTTAGTGTAGAAGAGGTTTTATGGTGTTGATGGTAAGCCTATAAAATACAAAAACAAATAAATATTAACATTACTGTTGAAATTACCTTCTCCCACCAAAAAAAAAACATTCCACAAGGAAATTGGAAAAAAAGTACATTTTGTATAAGCTGACTTTTGCTGTTAATTTATTTTATCTTTGAGTAGGTGTGCTTTTTTATTGCCTCTACTTACAACTGGGGCATAGAAAGGTCTGCAGATCTCATACAGTGATACATTTAATTGGATCCATTTAATTCTTATCCCTAATCTAAATCTGCTGTTGACTTAAAAAAGCATATACAGTACTACAATATACTATACAATATTGTAGTATATTTGTAGCATACAATATACATATTCTACTAATCTATTGGTCTTTAAGGACCAGAGTGGCAGATTGATTGATTAAATAGGGGTTTTACGAGTAACTATTCCACCAAAATAGTTTCTGAAAAGACACCTTAAAGGTGACTGAAGTTAATACTTTCCAAACATGTCAGAAATGAACTAGCTCAGTGCAACACGCTACACCACAGCCTTTTGAGGTGCACAGAGGAGTCATTAGGAACAGATATTTTTGAAGTACAGAAAACCTTACATTTAAGTGCAGTTGGTTGGTCCATTGGCCAATAACCTTGTACTCTGGAGTGTTGTTCTTGATCTGGTACTGGTAGATGTCATAGCGTCCTGGGGCATCCCCATTTTCATTGAATAACACTGGATTCCCAGCTATGCCTAAAAACAGGAAAAAAAGAATATCATTGCTGTAGCAAGCGGGGCGTGCTTTTCCACAGCTTCTAGATGGAACCTTATTCTAATAAAAATCTTGTACATTTGTTCACCTTTGCTGAATATCTGAATTAAGGCTATCGTCTATGCAGTAGGGCATCATAATAGAGGTATGTTTATGATCTATAAAAATAGACAGGAGCATTATTCAGACATGGGTTTCTTTCAAGGCCAATGCATTATGCATTACAATGAACAGCATTCAGTAGGGAAAATTAATTTCACAAGTGCTACCAATGTGCACATCGTCTAAATTAAAATATTGTCTATATTTAATGAATTGCAGCTACAGTATGAAGTGTGACTTTGCTCACTCTGCATTTGTATACTTACTACACTGCACAATTCCACCGCCATTATTTTACACTAATACATTCATAGGAACCAAGGCCTTGTCTTGTTAAAATGTTTCTTCAGTTACACAACTTATATAAAGTGTAAGGCCAACAGCCAACAGACAAAAATAAAAACATTTACTAAGTTTATGTTACATTTCAAGTGGAATAAACACACTCATAAATACACACCAAAATGCTTATTAAAGTTTGTGTGGTACGATGAATCAAAGTCACTAAAACAACGTTTAAGCTTACTGAAAAAAAAAAAACCTTGAAGGTTTTATCTTACTCCCTACAGGAGGAAAGCCTGAAACTCTTGCTGCTTTGGAATCTACGTTCAGGCTTACCAAAGGAATACCAAGCACAAAACCAGTAAACACGTGGTCCAAGATCCAGGTTTTCATTTTGTCCCACAATGCTAATCTTCATGTGAGTCAGCACACTGGTAAGATCCACATGATAATTCTCTGACAAAGCACAGAGATATACTGTATTCAGAGCATGACCAAATGAAAAAGATTATTGCAAGCTTACGAAACACAGATGTTTACACAATAAAACAATCACACATGGGAACTGCAGAGCAATAACACCTTAAACTTCAGCTTGGGTTTCTCATTTTCCATATCTCTAGATTTATTAGATTTTTCTTGAAGCTATCTTCCAAGCAGTTTTTGGCTTTTTTTTTCCGTCATCCCGTATGAATAACAGTTGCTTACAGCTTTGGCTAAAACATTAGGTTGTTACTAAGCTGTTAATGAGAGGAGAAAATGGATGTTGACAGCCGTGTGGGATGTGTTCCTTCACAAAGCGAGCGCTGTCTGGTGTTGTTCTAAATTAATTTCACAGTCTTTAGTTCTGCTCGTTGTTTTAATACAGGTTGTCCCCAAAGTCCTTTTTTGAACAGCCAGATAACAGGAATGAAGTGCATAATTAAAGACATACGCCTCTATCCTCTATTGCTGGCTGGCTTCATTTCATGCTAGTGTCCAGTGAGTGTTTGTATAGACATCAGGAGGAAGGGAATACAGCAGCTGGCAGGAAGCCATTCATCTAAATAACACAATGGTTGATGGGAGCAAGAACAAAGAGGATGTACTGTGTGCATCTCCTCTCATCCACGAAGCTCCACTGCCCTGAAAAAGCTATGGTTCACTTTAAAGCAACATGGCTTCAGCTCCATATGCAACAGCTGAGACTAGGCTCACTTCAAATAGCCAGAAGACATGCTTGCAAACAGAGGCTCAGACTTCTTGTACTTTTGCTGCAGAGACTTCTGCAAAGATATTAACCAATAATATTAACCATTTTCTAAAGGGAAGAGGTGCTTTTTAATTGTTTCCAAAGCAAGACAAATGACTTTTGGTATTATTGTCAGAATGTAGAGTTTTTATAACACATTACACCTTATAATTTATAAATCTTAACAGCTCACGCTGTAATATCTATCATGAAAACATTCTTTTTTAAGTGCATTTGTAATCTGTTTTTGAGATACTCTTAAGGATAATTATTTTAGAACATTTCAAGGTATTTCCTACTGTGATCAGAGGCATTAGAGTTGGTTATAATCATGATAAGCTCAAGAAATTGTGTACATTTTTTGTTCTCAAAGAGAAACGCAAGGCATAAATTTAATTTCTTTACTTTTTGTGTGCAGCCTGATTGAAGCTGACTGGATTTTCTCAATGGGTAATATTAACTGTGTGAATAAAAATAAAACAAGGTAACAACAGACAGGAGCTTATTTGGGCTCTTACTGATCCAATGATGTTATCAAACCATTTCTTGGGCTAACATCTTTAACAACATGACTGGGCTGCTTGTTCCAGACACCCACCACCATCTGTGTAAATAAGCCTCCTGTTTTCAATCCTAAATACACTTCATCGTCACTTTCAGTTGTGCTCTCACATTCTTGCTTTGTTAGTAAGTATAAAATAATCCATATATTTGTCAATATCTTTCACAATTTTGGGTACTAATATTTAGTTCCCTTGCAATCCCTGTGTTCAAGAGTAATGACATCCAGCCCCTTAAACATGTCTGTGTAAGAAATTCCCCTCAAACATGGAATCACTTGTTGCCCTGATTTAAACTCTTTCTTGGGCTGTGATGTTCTTTTTAAAGTGTGGAAATCAGAGCTGCACATTTTATTCTACATGAGGTCTAACTCGTACTTTGTATGACTGCATGTGATTTTAGTTCTACATTTCACAAACATGTATACCCAAGGCTTTTGTTAAATTTTTAATTGCTTCTCTACTGTACATTGTCTGTCATCATAAAAACAGTAAAAACTATATATTTTGAAGATCTGGTACTGTGGTGTGGTGTGGTACTGAAGATGTGGTACTTTATTCTCATGAGTGCCTTATACTTTTACAAATACCAGTAGGGTGTACCTACAGTAATCAGGAACTGTTACTGTAATCTGAAATGAAATGATAGGCACATGCTGCAGAATCAGAACCACCACCGCACATACTGTTTTGTGTTTTAAAATTTTACTGAATAAAAAGTGTCAGGACCATTTCATTATCCAAATTCCTTGAATTGAAAACAAGTATACAACAGGTAATCTCAGAGTGCTACAAAAAGAAACACACCACACATTTTACAACTTCAAGAGCTCTGACAGGGTCCTTAAATTTTTCCAGTTACTTTCACAGTGTATTTTTTTCATTCTGAGAATAATACATTTTTTTTTTCTCTTCTATGATGAAATTCTACCATCATCTACTTGATAACATTACAGATTTGGAGTGAGATTTTATTACCAACATTAAAAGATAACAGGACTATCTCAGTATATATAAGTAGGATATTAAACAAGTGCACATACTTTTTGCTGAATATAGGTTTCTTTACGTCTGGATGGATATTGCTTTATATTCAGACAAAAAGATGTAAAGCAGGCTTGCTGCATACAGTATATCTCTATTATCATCACAGAATGATTTCTTATCTACAGGAGCATGAGAGGCAGCTTGTGTTGGAGCCCTGCAGAGCTCTGGGTACTACAACTGACTTTAGGAGTCCTGATCATTCTTTAAAATTAATTGTGATGCCTGAAGCTATAAGACAAAGTTTTATATCTATAGACAGTCGACAAGTATGCTAATAGGCTATAAAACATGAAAAAGTATGTCTCAATTTGAAACGCACGGCCCTCAGTTGTAAATAGGAAAAGACAAGTTATAGTTACAGTGCATGACAATAGATTATGCATTATATTACCTTAGAAAATGCACTAAATATTTTTTTCTGTTTTTCTAGTACTGTAGTATTGTATGTCTACCATTCACACTTGTATTTTTTTATTTTCATTGTACATTTGATTAAGCCCATAACCTCTTTGTAAATAACACAAATATTTTTGTCATAGCAAGTGATCATTATGTGATTTTAAAAGTACAAACACTCAGTACCCAGTAATACTCTTGTCTCTTAATTTAAAAATTACCCTGCACCTACAATTATGGCTATTTAACTTTAACTATAACATGCCTTAGTATCCTTGGTTGATACAGCAACTGTATATGTTGAAAGTTGCCTTTGTCTCCCAACAATACCTGTTGTAGCTTTACAACAGTCACTGCATTCCCAGAGGTCACACACTGTATCAACAGATTCGAAGAAATGCCATTTGCAAAATCATTCCTATACATAATATTGTAGCATTCTGCTTCCTGCCCCGGCAGCAGTTTCCCTTTCCTTCCAGAAGGGCTATATTAGGAGGAACACTCTCTCTACCCTCATCGCATTCTAGGGGTTACCTCGCAACTGTGAGCTCTTCTTTCACCTTCCACCTTCCAACTGCCACCTGCCACCTGCCAGCGGCTAGTGTGCTCTGTGTATGGAAAAGGGCAATACATTCCTCCACTTGCTGCTGCAACTCGCCTTCTGTCTGCTCATTCTCTCCCCCTGTTCCCTCCGAGCTGACCCATTCACCAAGGTATACTTAAAATCTCAATGCTGATAGAGGAACATATATAGTTATTATAACGTTCAGGGGTTCATGTGGGTATGCACCCTCGCCTCTGCCGCCTCAGGTCAGCCCTCCATCGTTGGGGACTCGAACCCAGGCCTCCGGCATCACTCAACAGGGACCCAGCCACTTGTGCTAAAGGGACCGGCGGCTGCGGTCCCTGATATTCACAGGGAAGGGCGGTGACGTCACTGCGCTGGTAAGCCGGCTCTCACAACCAATGGTGGCCGTATCGTATGCGTTACACTATATACTTCAAGTGGGTAGCTGCATCTGCATGCATAGGCTGCAAAGGAACAAGTAGTAGGTTTATTCCATGTTGAAAACAGAAGAAAGAAAACACAACACTTCGGGCAAAAAAGGCTCCACAACCGAAATATTGTGTTTAAATAAACCGATTACTTGTCCCTAGTTATATACTTACTCTGTCCAAATCAGAGATAAACAGTACTTGTAAACTGTCCAATGGTGTTTCATTTTAGACACAATCCCTAACTGAAAAAATGGATTGTGATATTGTAGATACTGTATACATGGGGCTGGTGGTATTATTATTTAATCTGGTGCATGGCACTGAAATCTTTGACATTTATTTCAGTTCCGCAAAATGAAAAAAC